TTAATGTGAGAGCAGTGACTCTAGCCCAGATCTAACCACTCCTAGACCTGTGCTGTCCTGCAGAAAAGATACTTGGGGCAGACAGAACATTGCAACTCTGTGGACCGAGTTTAATCTAGATAATAGAGAATGCTAATCTATTGGCTTGATATTAAGACATGGCATTAGACACGGGAGGATAGACAGTAAGAGTACACTGTGAGATTTACAAAGGAAGCAAAGAAAACACCTCAACACAAATTCATACATGCATAAAAAGCTGAGGAGCCCAATACCCAAGAATGTCTATGTGGGCAAATTCATGGCAATAAATGTTCTGGAGGGTTATTATGGATTGAATTACATTGCCCAGAAAGGCAGGTTAAAGTCTTAACCCCCAGAACCTATGAATGTGACCTTATTAGGAGGTAGAGTCTTTGCAGATATAATCAAGTTAAGATGTAGTCACACTGAATTAATATGGGCCCTAATCCAGTGACTAGTGTCCTCATAAGAAGAGGGAAATTTGAACATGGACACACAGGAAAGTAAGCCATGAAGATGGAGACAGAGATTAGTCAAGTGTCTACCAGGCAAGGAATGCCAAGGACTGCTGGCACCCACAGGAAGCTAGAAGAGGCAAAAAAAGATCCTCTCCTAGAGCCTTCAGAGAGAGCATGGCCGTGCAAATAGCTTGATATCAGAGTTCTAGTCTCCAGAATTGCAAGAGAAGAAATATCTGCTGTCATAAGCCACCCAGTTTGTGGTGTTTGTTACAGCAGCCCTAGGAAACTCATACAGTCTGAGCAAGTGGTTGGGCTGGGATGGGATGAAGTGAGGAGACCAAAATCATGCAAGTGAATGCAACACAGCAAGTTCTGGGCTGTCCTGTCATAAAGCTATCCTGTACAGCATGGTCCTGTGTGTGCACTACTCCATTCACAAACTTCAGGACTGCCTGGAAGAAGATGAGCAGTGGAGGGAGACGAACCTGGACTTGAATTCCGTCTGCTACTTACATGGTAAAGTGCAGGGTAGATAACCGATTTTTGAGGGTCTCAATGTCTTCATGTGGAGAACACAGCCTCCCTCAGAGGGTTAGTGTGAGAACTACTACATCTACCTGTCGCAGCAGCTCGGTCAGGGTAAATTTCTTTGTCTCTGCTTTATTTAGTCTTTGAACTACATCACAGACAATTTGGGGATAGGAAAGTTTAAATACTTCCCATGTGGAGAAAGGAGTCATTAAATGCTTCTCATTTTAGAGACGAGCACACCGGTCACACGGTACGTTTTCCACACTCACTGCAGGCTGTGTGGGGCACCTGGGAGACGTCCAAGTGGGTGTCTGTTGATGGATGAAGTGACTTGGGAAGACCTCATAAAGAAACAAGCCTTAATCTTATGGCGATAATAAACCATTTGGCATTACTGAACAGACTTCATCCACCTCACGACTTTGCTCAGGCCTGGCTGTCCATTTCTGGCCCAGTATGTATCAAAGAACGAGTAGCTAGCCCACCTTCCCTGAGACCTTCAGGGGGTTCAAAGCCTGAGCTTAAATGAAAGTGACTCAAAAATAGGTGCTCAGGATTCATGAAGTGTCTTCAGCTGGACCCAAAGAAGAGTCATTGTAAAATAGCATGTTTAACTCAAAGCCAATGCTAAGTTAGAGTAGATGACAAACACAGTTGCTATTGTGAAGGTAAAACAAGCAAGAAAACAAAATGAACCATGCCATTTTTAAGTCCCCAAAATATAACACCCACCACTGCCTTCCTGACTCCCCCTGCTGTACGGCTCTCCTAGCACTTCCCACACATGGCATGTTAAACTGGCTCGTTTATTCCGTCAGAGCCCGTCTCTGCTCACTGGGGTGCACGTTCCATCAGGGCTCAGGCCTGGTCTCTGTTATTCACTTACGCATCCCCAGGGCCTGGAACAGCTCCTGTCATGTGATCGGTTCACAATACATGGTTGTTGAACAAATGAGTGAATGAATGAACAAGTTCGGGCAGGGAGGGGAGCAGTCATATGATGTGGGTAAGAAAGTAGAATATGCGGCTGCCTTTTGCCCACAAAGTTTTGCCCTTATGCTCTGCCCACCCCCGGCCCCACCATTAAGGACATCTCTCTCCCTTCTCTGCCCTGATTCCATCATCACCAAGTAACCTTTGGTTTCAGTCTTGCTGTGTGTGCGTTCCTATACAGGATCACAATTTTGGTTCGGTGGTTTTTTTTCCCACTGTAAATTACTGGGTTGGCATTTCAGTTTTTAAAAAATTGGTTCACCTCTCAAGTCTGAGGAAGAGAATCTCAGCCAGGATGAAAGCTTGTGGTGAAAGAGCAAAGAATGGCACGAAGGGGCTTGGGCTCTAGATCTAACTGTCCTCTGGGCTTCTGTGTGGCCTTAAAAAATCACTTGTCTGGGCTTCAGTTTCCCCACAGAGGCATTGAACTTGATCACTTCTGAGACCCTTCCATCCTTCAAAATTAGCATTCTATGAGAATTGCCAAAGTAGGCTCCTCCGTGTATTCCGACATCCTGAGAGAGCTGTTATCTGCTATCTTGTGTCACTAACAGCAAAATGGTGTGGTTCACTTGGGTCATGGGTCAGGGGTCAGTTAGCACCGCCGGGAAAAGACAGATGGGATTCTCATTACACACGTAAAATGCCAGTGGAGGCATTCCCCAGGGACAGTGGGGATCACAGAGCAACTCTCTCCACATTTGAAATTGTGCAGGTGCATGGGTGTGGGGTGGTGGAAAGCGGTACAGGAGAGAAGGAGATGCAGAACAGAAGGCAGAGGATGGTCTAGGTGATGGGAAGGCAGGCGCAGAGACCACGGGTTTGGAGAGTCACTCATTTTCCTGTTAGGACCTAGCAGACACTGAAGCTTGACCAACAATAACGTGCCCATGAACTTTCTTTTTAGTAGATACATAAAACTATTTCCACTATGAGCCATGTCATTGTGGTGGAGGGCAAGAGCTGAGTGTGCCATAAATGTATCTTCCTTAGAGGTTTTAGTTCTCCATTTGCCAAGGCTGCTCCAAGCCTGCTTTCTTTGTAAACCTTCCAATGTTCATTATTGGTCTTCCTAGAGATCTTGATTGCCTGTCTGTAATACAGTTATTGGGCCAGCTCTCAAATTTACACCTTCAGATGAGACTTCTCACCTGAGTGCTAGTCTTATATGACTGCCAACCTACAGATGAGTACCACTTAGATATCATTGCTTTAAATGTAACATGTCAAGAGCAAACAGCACAAGTCTCCCCCAATTCACTCAGTTTCTATCACTGGCATCACTAATCTTGTTCTGAGGCTTAAGGTTGAAGGTACTTTTTAATTCTTCACAACCTCCTTCATCAGTAGTCATCCACAACTTCCATAAACAGCACTAACAAACTCACCAGTCTGCCCACTGCTGCATCAGTGTTGTCTCTTCTGTCATTTGTATTATGACCTGAAATGACTGAACCATCCCCACAAACTGTGAGCCTTCTCAGAGTCTCTCTTGTTCATCTCCTTTCTTGCACCTCCACCTTCATCCATGTCTTCATTCTTCTTGCCCAAATTTCCAGAGCATCTTTCTTACTGGCCTTCCAATCTCTAATGTTTCCTTGCTTCAGTCCATCTCAAACAAATCCACAGGTTGATCTCTTTTTTTAAGATTTTATTTATTTATTTTTAGAGAGGGGAAGAGAGAGAGAGAAATATTGATGTGCCAGAGGTACATCGACTGGTTGCTTCTCCCTCGACCCCAGCTGGGGACTTATTCAGCAACCCAGGCCTATATCCTGACCAGGAGGGACTCAAACCTGCAATTCTTTGGTCCATAGGCCGGTACTCAGTCCAGGAGCCACACCAGCCACAGTAGGTTGATCTTTTTGAAACCACTTTCATCAAGTCACAGTTTGCCAATCAGTATTTAAAAACTCATAAGCATTTAAGAGCTTCCATCAAGCAGTCCCTCCTCCCCAAGGCCTATCCATGGTTTTATTCAACTCGTATTTGTTTGAGCACCAACTATGAACCAGCCACTCTCTCTCTCTGCCACCCCCAGCATTCCCCCTTCTCTTCAGTTAAGCCCAGCTTAAGTGATGTTCTCCTACAGCCACCACAGTGATATCTGCCCTTTGGGCTGTGCTCAAACCCTTGCCCTGCCTGGAATCTCTGCCTTTCTGCCAACCCATTTTTGTTCTCTCTTCCAAGATGCACCTTCTCCTAAGGGTTTCTAGTGTGAATGAATGCCAGACCACAACATTTCCCTGTTTCTGAATTTCTAGATATCTATTGCTAAGTATATTTCTCTCATTATTTCACACGCATTCATTGGTTTCAACATAACAATTGATACGTGAGCTCCAGAAGGGCAGGGGCCAAATCTTCTTCTTTTCTTTTACCAGGAACTGGGATGGGCAAGACCAGATGCAAAGCCTGCAAGGACCTTGATTTTGCACACAGCTCATGGACAAGGCCTACTTGTCACAAATAGGCACCAAAGACCTCGGACTAGCTCCTCATACAAGGCTACAGACTTGGCCTTGAGAAGCATTTGTTAAATGCTGAATTAACATTTTTAAATAATTCAGGTTCCTTACACACCATGTATTCCTCTAGCACAAAAATACAATGGCCGGTATTACCTACCAGTTCTCAGTCACTACTCAGATTTGAAATTCTTGACCCTTTCTGGCCAGAATGCTAGGTCCAGGGTGAACAAGAAGGCCCCAACTCTGCTGTCCTTATAAGAAGTTGCCCCTATACCTGGCAACTACCCACAAGTTAACACCAGTTCATGCCCTTGAACCAAAGTTGTCCGACCCAGTACAAGCCAGGCATTTGCAGAACCTGAAGGCCCAGCTCCCCTCCTTCCTTCCGTCCAGCTGCACAGCGTCTTGTCCAAAGCTAGTCCATAGCCTAATGATGAGCAGCCCGTGCAGAAAGCAGAGAAGCTGCCCCTTTCCCCAGGAGTTCTTAGGAGTGCGGAGAAAGGAATAGAAATGGACTTACCTTCACATAGTAGTTCATGCCCATGCCCAACAGGTGCTGCAGGAAGTGCTTGTCCTGCTTGCTCCCCGGGGTTGGCGCCCCAGGGCCCGGAAGGGGGCGAGCATCGGGAGTCACAGCGGTTGCCCTGTGCCTCACCACGTCCTGCTGCGGTGGGGGTGCAGACCCGGACCTATTTAGACTGGTTTCGGGGGAAGCCGGGCTGCTGGGAGCCGGATCTTGGCTTTCCTGGAGCTTCAGGCGGGGTACCTCTTTGGTACCCAAGCAAAAGTTTTTCAGACTCAGCAAGGTAGCTGGGTTGGCTAGCTTCACGCTGGCCATACGCGGGATCAAGGTGCACAGTGGGGTGGGGCTCTCTTGGGACGCCAAGGTGGCATCTTCAGTCGGCAAGTGAGGTGCCAGAGCGGGGTAAGGAGGCTGAGGCGATCCCTTGCTCCCGACGGAGCCTCCGGAACTGCCTTCGTCCAAGGACGTGATGGACTCGTTCCGAAAGCGGCTGTATTTGGCCCTGTGCAGCATCCCTGGGTGCCCGAAGAGTCCTACATACAGCACGAGACCTGCCAAGCTGTCCTGACCGCGTTCTCGCATAGCCTTGGCAGTGTTGAAACAGGATACTGTTGCATAAATCGTCTCGTAGTCTGCTAGATAAACGGTCCAGAAAACAAATGCCTCAACGCCCCATGCAACTCTCGGAGGCCACCTCTCCAGCGCTGCTCCCGAGCCCTTCGGGATGACAGCGGAGAGGGAAAACGCCTCCCCAGCCTTCAGTCCCTCCCTGGCCCAGGCAGCAGCACCCGGTGTTCTCGCCTCGGATTCCTTCCTGGGAGAGCCTGTGTCCAGGCTCGTGGAGGCGGGGATCACCCAAGGCCAACTCTTAGGCACAGAACTGGCCGAGCACCGGCCACCCGGTCCCGCCGCATCTCCAGTGGTGCGGGAGCGAGCACAATTATTTAGCGCCCCCCACCTCCAGCCACCCCTCTGCGCACAGGAACTTTCAAACCTGCTCCCTCCGGTTCCCACAGGGCGGGGCAATGACTGGCCTATTAACCCTTTATTTGTTCCAACGATTGTTCATTTGAAAAAAAAAATGAAAGAAAAGATGTACAGGAGCCGAGGGCCTTCTGCCTGAGTTCGTTGATTCTGATGGCTGCCCTCTCTTGAAAGATTTCGTCTTGCATCCTGTCCAGGCCACAAGCCAGCAATACTAGTGACCGGAGCTGCTCGGCATTATTTCAAGGACTTGCGACAGCTCGGTGTTCCTCAGACCCCCTCCCAGCCCGCCCGCCCTCGCTCAGAGCGCCCCTCCTTCCTGCACAGTCTCAGAGCCTCTGTCAGCAGCGGGAGCGCTTTGGCAGCAGAAGGCTGAGATGTGCGGGATGATACGCAGAGTGTTGAAATTTTTATGAATGAACCTTGCTGAATGAATTTCTGTCTGTGTGTGCAAGCTAATAAATCTGTGAATGAAGCTGAGAATAGCTGTAATTGACTGATGGGCTCAGGGGTGCTTGGTTTTTATCCAATCAGGCAGCAGCGTGGTGACTCATGCACCATAAATACACTAAGCTAGTAGCCAGGAGAAATAAAGCTGGAGGGAGAGGAGGGAGAGATTCTGTTTTGTGATATCCGATGAAGGGGTTAAAAGGAAAGGCGAACATTTACTATAAATCATCAGTCAGCTGGGCAGCAGCAGGTTAAAAGGTCTATTTCCTTCTTTGCGGAGATGGCCAGGAAAGCCAAGCAGAAGAGCTGAAAATTAGATCCATTGTTCTACAGATATTAGGACATATGGTACATAACTCCTGTGGGAAGCCAGTGATGCATTTTTCTTAGAAACATAGTTCTTTTTTTATTGATTGCTGGTTTCATCTCCCATCTGGTGCAACTTCCTGTACCTATCAAATGCATTCTGAAGACGTGATGACAACTGCAAGAGGCTTAGCACACAGGAAGCCAGGAAGGAAGCCAGGAGGGGGAAATGCAGGTTCTTTCAGGAATGAAAGAGGAAACTGCTGAATTCTGGGAGGATGTGCAGATCGCTTATCGGAAGAAACAAGAAAAATCTCTGCTGAAGGTTACATTTCTTGGTGGGCCAAGGCCCTTGTGTCTGAAATTGTTCAATGAAAAATTGACCACCACAGGAATCAGGGATGCCACCTTCATTGTCTTATTGCCCATAAGGCTCCAATCAGCTCCTGTGTATTCATGACATTCGTGGCCTGAGCTCCTTTGGGATCCAAACACAGGTTCTGGATTAAGTGGTTGCTTATGACCGGCCAAAAAGGCGTCCACGCTGGCTTCCTGCTCCCCCACAGAAATGACGTGCCTCTTCACATCTTGTCTGCCAAACCTGTCAGGATGTGTTTTCCCTTGGGCAGGCCCTTTTGCATCTTCAGAAACCTTGCCTTTAATCCTTGCTGACCTCCTCTCCCAGCCCCAACACCTCCTCCTGGCAAAGCTGAGGGGTGTAGTTAAATCTGCTGTAAGTCACATCCTCGGGGTTAAACAGACAGGCTCTGGACAAGGTTGGGAAGTGATCTTCCTCTTTTTCGTTTTTCCCCTTCTCTCTCCTCCCCTCCCAGGGACCCTTTCCTTGCTATCACAAGCCCCACACTATGCTGCTTGAGAAAGTTACTTTACCACTCTGCTCCTGAATGCCCTCATGTGTTAGGAGTAGCTCTCTATTGGACATATTATGAGGGTTCACGAGCTCATTCCAATTCTGGTAAAGCACTTGGCACCATGCTCCACATAGTGCCTGGCTCATAAGTACCTGTCAGGCAGTGTAAAGGAAGGCCATTTGAATGAGGGCCACCTGCCCCGGAAGCTGGTACTCTTACCCCCTACAGTCTATGTACACCTGTCTAGGCTATTAAGAGAGAAATCTGCACAAATTAGAACCCAAGAATGTCAACACTGTCCAAAACAGAAATTTTTTTGTAAAATTTTGTGGGCCTGGAACAATAGAAGCCCACCTGGCTGGTGTAAATCCTTGCTGAGGTCTTTATGGCTGGAGGGGAGGGCGTCTGATGGGTGAGGGTGCCCAAGGGAGCCGGGTACCCAAGTGCGCACCTCACCAGCCACATTCCAGGGGCTCTGACCGGCCCACATTCCTCAGGTGGAGTAAGTCCTAGGAGGGTGGGAGCGGAGGGGAACCAGGTGGGGCCAGATAAGTTAAGAAAGCAGCCACAGCCACCACCACAGGCTGCTGCTGTCCCTGGGAAAACTAGAGACCTTGGCTGTCCTAGGCAGCTCTGCCAGGGCCTTTTATGGGGGTGAGAGAACCCAGAGCTGCAACTGGGGAGCTGGGAAACAGCCTCAAGGCCACGCCAGCCCAGCAGAGCAGCTATCAGCACAAAGGCCGGGGCTAAAACGCTGCCCGCAGTCCAGGAAAAGGCTCCTTCATTGTGTGGATTTTTATTCCAGGTAGGTGGGTGGGCAAAGCAAAAGGTTCTCTTTTTTCCAGGACATTAGAATATCGTTTTCAAATAGTAATGATGAAAATAACATTAATAAAAGCTACTAGTTATGGAGTGCAAGTCAGTTTACCTGTGTTCAAAAAAATTCAGCCAAATAATCTGAAGATCTGATTGATTTTATTAAACAATTTGGTCAGCATCCCAACCTGCAGCTAGCAAGGTCTCCCACGGGTTGTACAAAATGGAGGTCTTTCCGGGAAGCAGGGTGAGACAAGGGATTTATCAGCCAGGAAGAAAAGAAAGGATTGTTTGGGGACAGGGACATATTTTCTTGGAGGAAATGGAAGGGGATGGGTTTTTATTATGTAGGTTGCCCCTTCTTTCTGTGGGGGATGGAGAAGGCCAGTGAGACCGATTTCTTTACTAGGGCTTGACCAGAAAATTCTGTACTGGTTGATTAAGATTCTGTTTCTGGGAAAGGTTGAAACTGCAAATAGATCAGGTATGAAATCTAGGTTTGGTATCATGGGCTTTTACACAAGTGATGCTATTTGGGGCCTGTGGGGGGTTTTTTCTTTAACACCTGCATTCTTGTTTAATAACCATTATAATCGCTTTTGGAGGCTGGGACTGTTTTCATCACGGCCTTACACGTGTGGAAAGAGACTCAGAGCAAGTTCAGTGACTTGGCCCAAGTCCCCTGGTGGCTGAGCGATGATGCTGGGGCCCCTCCAGCAGCTCTGCCTGGCTGCCAAGCCTGAGCTGCAACCACTGTGCTCTGCTGCCTCCCAGGGCACCAAAGAGGTCAAGTCCAGATCCCAGGACTGTCCTCTCCACGCTGCAGGATAGCCCACAGTTGAGGCTGAGTTCACAGTAAGCCACCAGGTTTACTGGCTTGTCTCAGCCCCACAGCCAGTCAGGGGCGGGTCTAGGGTAGAACCAAGCGTCGATTCACTCTAACCACATGTCCTGTCCACTGGGATACCAGCCAGCACATGCAAGAACCTAACTCACACTTGGCGCTCACTAACTGTTAGTGCTTGCTCTCTCTCAGACTCCTTGGAGATCATATCTATACCATTCACCCTAAATACCTTACAGGATTGCCAGGAGTAAGAGCATGAATAATTGATAAGAAAAGCATTATTGTCATTAAACCATCAGAGCCCCATTAACCCCCTCACATCATTTCCTTGGAAGCAAGGCTCTGTTTAGACCATTGTGGTATATGCCTCCTTTGCTTCGAGACATCCCTACTCCAAGGACACCTGCTATGAACCAAAATGCCAATTTTTAAGGACCAGCCGGCTGTGACCAGGCTTCCTGGAAGGAATGGGCAGGTTCAAGGAAGACCTGGGTCAGGCTGGGACATAACACAATAGTATTAGCCGGGTCCCGCCAGGATCCCTTAGAGGAGTTGGGGAGAAGGGGACCTAGGCAAAAACGCCTGCCCAACTTTGGAAGATAACCCAATGTGGGATTTGGGGTGGAGGAAGGGTGTGCTAGGGAGCATAGGGAAGTGGAAACAGAACAAGACAGAAATAACTCTGGGGGAATGTAGGCCGATTGCTACTTTGGAACAAAAATGGAGCAGGTGGCATCAGAGTGCCACAGCACCAGACACCGAATACCATTTCTATCACAAAGCAGAGCTACTCCTGAAGAAGTTTCCTGAGGATGAGTCCAACAGCCCGTCAGTGAGGGTGGAAAACACTGTGGAAGCTGTATTTCAGGAAAAAAAATCTACAAGACAATATGTATATGAAGCTCTTATCAGAGAACAAAATAGCATTTTGAGGATGGGAGAGTGACAAGTATGGAAGGGGTGAGTCTCTGAGAGTCAGAGCTGCGCATCATAGCAATGGAGGCAGCTCCATGTCCCCGAGCGCTGCCATTAAAGCAACACTTCCCTTTCCCTTCTGATCGAAACATTTATGGTTGTTTCAGTCTTCCACCTTTGCAGGTAAACAGCTCTCTGATGGCTGCTGTTGGTCTGAACTGGCTCTCCTGGAACCAGGACCAGCTAGAAATAGATGTTTTCCCATCTGGGAAAATGAGATAATGTCCTAGGAAGTGCTATGTAAAGAGTTAGACATCATGTGGATAAAGAGTAGATGAGTTACTTTGGGTTAGGTTCAGTTGCAAATAACATAAAAATTCAAAAGAACAGTGGTTTAAACAAAAAATTTACTTCCCTGGAAGTGGAAAGTTTAGTCATAGTATCAGCTCTTGGCCATCCTTAAAGTATCTCTCTTCTCCTCATAGTCCAAAAGGGCTGATGGAGCTCCAGCCATTTAAGCTGCATTCCAGGCAGCACAAAGGATGAAAGGACACAGAAGGACATGCCTACTCTCTTTAAAGCAACATCCTGGAAGCCCAACAGAATGTTTCCAGTGACAACACATTAGCCAGAACTTACTCATATGGCTGCACCAAGCTGTAGGTGAAAACAAAGTGTTCATCTGAGGGTCGAGCTTTTCGTCTGAGTACATGGCTGCCGCACATCAAACCAGAGTCTGTTACTAGGGAA